GCGGAGCGGGGGTGTTTGAAAGGACCTGCAACGTGTGGGCCACCATCATGACAAGGTGTTCGTGAGATTCTGCAGGCTGCCACGTCCACTCTTCCATGACGTGCTTCAACGCATCGGTCTGTTGATACAGCGCAAGACCACGAATTCGAGACAGTCTTCGCCGGCGGAGCAGAAATTTACATGTGCCCTCATCAGGTGGGCTATTGGAGGTTACTACAGGCAGTCAGGTCACGGGTTGGGCATGGGTCTTATGAGTGCGTTGCGAAGCAACAAGGACGTGTCCGAAGCTATCGTCAGGGAATACCCTCATGTCATCTCCTTTCCACAGGGACGTTGTTTAGAGGATTGCATGAATCATTTTGAATGCAAAGGCTTCCCTGGGTGTGTGGGTGCTATCGACTGCACCCATTTGTACATCGGACAGCCCAGGAATGAATGACTGGAGTGCAACTTCGATCGCATAAAACAATTCTTCATTGTAGTACAAGTCGTTTGCGACCACGAGTGTCAAATTTCAGACGGTTATGTCGGGAGTCCGAGATCTCTCCACGACTCTCGCGCACTGCGAATGTCCTGTCTTTGCGTTCAAGGTGAGAGCGGCGAAGGTGTGTTCTCTGGGGAGCCTATGTTGTTGCAGGATGGCACATCTATTGCACCTTTGTTGGGAGATGCGGGTTTTCCCTTGCTCGACTGGATGATGACTGCCCATAGCACGTGCAGGGATCGTACGCCCACGCAGGTCACATTCGATGATGTCCACTCAATAGCGAGGAATGTCACTGAGCACACATTCGGGATTCTGAAGGACATCTGGAGGAATTTTGGATGGCGACAAATCGGGAATTTGAAGACCATTTCCTGGGAGTTCATGGCGGTGTGCATCTTGCACAATCTGCTCATCGACTACAAAGTCGATGTGCAAGACATGACGACATCAGACGACGACCCTGACGATGATGGCAGCGATGACGACAATCCTCCTCAAAGGCGATGTCCGCACGTTCCACGCAATAGGAGGGATGTGGCGGATGATGACGACGTTTGCATCAACTTCGTGGGTCTGACGAGGATGCAACGGAGCAGAGCCAGATTGGTTGGACACGTCTATCATGTTCGTGTTCGTGGTCCGACAGATCCCAGTCATTGGCGAGCATGAGTGCGACACACACACACACACACACACACACACACACAAACACACACACACACACACACACACAGAGAGAGAGAGAGAGAGAGAGAGAGCAGATGACATTTTTTTTTAGTGCAACTCGGGCATATATCGACTTGTCCATGACATTGTTATAAAGCATGTCTCTCTCTCTCTCTCTCTCTCTCTCTCTCTCTCTCTCTCTCTCTCTCTCTTATACATGCTAATCATATAAAGATCGTATATATTCATGCATCTTGTTCAAATGTTCCAGCTGCCGACGCATGACCCCGTGAAACGAGAAGGATATATGATCGGAGGGGGGGGGGGGAATTGAAAAAATAAAATTGTCCGCCAAACAAACAACTTTCGAAGTCCATGCTTTGAAAATAACACAAGTACACAAATGCACATGCATGTTCCAACAATTCATAACCCATACTTTGTTGTTTCTATCTTCTATTTTTGTTTTTCATAAATGTTCATTGACTGGTTAAAAGCTATGATTGCCCGGGGAGATTGATAGATCGACTGAATGAATGGTTGATTGATTGATTGATTGTTGGGGTCGGGCTGACCCTTCCCCAGGGGGCGAAATCGATCAATCAATGAAGAAATCCATGAAGCAACCTATCAATCAATCAATGAGCCAATCGATTAATCAATCAATGAACCAATCAATCAATCATTTGACGAACCAATCAATTAATCAACAATTCAGTCAATCGTCATCGATCAATCCATGAAGCATCCTATCAATCAATCAATCAGTGACGTTGGGTTTCGTTTATGCTTACTGTTTCCAATATCGGGATTGGATTCATTGTTTGATTAATTGAATGGTTGAAGGTTTTCATGATTGATTGATTGATCGAGGTTGCCCTTCCCCGTAAGGCAAATCCCATCCACCATTGAACCGATCTATTAATCGATCTATCTGTGACAAAGTTACATGCAAACACACACAGACACACACACACACACACACACACACACACACACACACACACACACACACACACACACACACATAAAAACATGGTCATCGTTTGTGCACGTACAACCATGAAAATTATAAAAGCACAGGGGGCGAAATAAAAACCATGAACAGTAGGAAAGGGCAATAGAAAATGAAACAACAAAAAAAAGTGCACGTATAGTGACTCCCGCTATCCAAATGTAGAGCCTCAAGGTGTTTTTTTGCAGAAGTGTTATGCGTCTCGAAGTACAAGACGCCGATGTTCAATTTCCTTCTGGAACGCTGACGACAACAAAGCTCGCAGCGACCACCTCTCTCTCTCTCTCTCTCTCTCTCTCTCTCTCTCTCTCTCTCTCTCTCTCTCTCTCGGTCGGTGTACGCAGGCCCGAACATGACAACATGTCACATCACCACTTCCGCCTCTCTCTCTCTCTCTCTCTCTCTCTCTCTCTCTCTCTCTCTCTCTCTCTCTCTCTCTCTCTCTCTCTTTGGGTTGGCGTACGCAGAGGTCCGAACATGACAACCAATTCCGATTTCCATCAACAATCAAATTTCATGTACAACGTTGGCGATGACAGAGTTACACAACAACCCTCTCTCTCTCTCTCTCTTTCTCTCTCTCTCTCTCTCTCTCTCTCTCTCTCTCTCTCTCTCTCTCTCTCTCTCTCTCTCTCTCTCTCTGTTGGCGTACGCAGGCCCGAACATGACAACAGTTCACATCACCAATTCTGATTTCCATCGACAATCAAATTCCATGTACAACGTTGGCGATGACAAAGTCACATAGCGACTCTCTCTCTCTCTCTCTCTCTCTCTCTCTCTCTCTCTCTCTGTCTCTCCACTCTCTCTCTCTCTCTCTCTCTCTCTCTCTCTCTCTCTCTCTCTCTCTCTCTCTCTCTCTCTCTCTCTCTCTCTCTCTCTCTCTCTC